GTATGCAGGCGAAAAAGTGAAAAGTGTGTTCCTCAAAGCAGCAAAACTGTGGGAAAAGGACACCTGTATCGATTTCAAAAACGACAGTTCTGGTAAGAAGCATTTCGTTGCATTCCATGAAAATCTATAGCAGATTTGTGAATTAGATCATTTTTTCATGTTGTTCTGAGTAGTATAAAATTGAAGAACACACAACCACTTCAGCTAGAGACACAATCAAGGTGTTCGCGGGAGACGGATGCTTTTCATGGGTTGGAAGGCTCGGTGGAGAGCAAAACGTGTCACTGGGAAAAGGATGTGAGACGGTAGGAACTGCTGCGCATGAAATTGGTCACGCTCTTGGATTCTTCCACACTATGTCACGATACGATCGAGATAAATTCATCACTCTTAACAATGAAAATATCGAGGTGAGCACAGCACAGCGCAACACGGCATTCTGTCTATTGAAGCATTCAACAACAATTTTTTCAAGCAAAAAATTGCTAATTTACAAACTTGGAGGAGGGTGCTTGATCCTGAACCTCGAAAGGAATAAATGACAAGTTACATTGCCAAGATATAGAAACAGAATTCAAAGTGCGCAAGCAAAACATAAAAGTATGGCAAATGGAAAGGTACATATCTTCAGATTGACTGGAGAGATCAATTCGAAAAGGTAACAGAGGAAAACAGCGACAACTACGGTATGACATATGACTACGGCAGCGTTATGCACTACGGAGTGACGAGGTTTGTTTTCATGAATAACAGTCCCTGAATTGTTCGAGCCTATATAAGTCTAAGTGTACGAACGTATTGGTGCTTGTTTCGAAAACAACTTGAGACAAAATATTTGATCATAAATTAATTATCTTAATGCTCAGCGGGTCTACCAAGAGAAAAATTACGATGGTCCCTTTCGACATCAAATACGAACAGACTCTTGGCTCTCCATTCATTTCGTTCATTGAACTCTCCATGATCAATGAACACTATAACTGCAAAGGTTCGCAATTTTTACGTCACTTTTATTACCTTTCTGATCAGTGAAACAATTGAATTACGCGAACAGGCTAGTAGTTGATTCTTTCCGAAGACGTAAGTTTTACGGATAAAATCAAAAGGACAGCCAAACTGCCATGATAAAATCACCTAAGACGCTGTACACTCTACTCGGATATAGTTACGGGTTCATTAAAACTAGGTTCCCGTAGGTACCCATAAGCTTGTCATGCAAGTCGTAGGCGCGTCCAAAAGCATACTTGAGATGCATTTATTTAGAATAGTGAATTTTTTGGTTCAGAGGCGTGCGACCCGGAGACGTCAGTACAGTGTGAAATGGGTGGATTTCCTAATCCCCGCGACTGCAAAAAATGTATATGCCCTGGAGGTTACGCCGGTGACAGATGCACAGAAAAAGTGGGAAAACTTCAGATTGGTCAGCACATTGAAGAATGCTCTTCCGAAAGTTTGCCTTTCCAGCCATCAGGTTGCGGTGAAGTAATTGAAGCTTCACCGAATTGGACGGTACTTGTAGACGTTGTCGGTCCAGGTAAAAGATATCAGGAAGACTTCTCCACATGTAATTATTGGATCGAAGTATGTCTACTCTTTTTGGAGTTTTAGATTTCAACATTTCGCGGACCAGTGAGTCATAATATAAAACAGTAGTCTACGAAATGGTAATCGTTCTGTAATTCTAGTCTCCAAATGACACCGTGATCGAAGTGAAACTGGTGGGTTACAGCGATGGAGTTTCTGTTGACGGCTGCCTATACGCTGGTGTAGAAATCAAGACAAATAAGGATCAAACACTCACTGGCTACAGGTAAAACTGTACTTATCAACACCGGTAATACACCAACATAGGGACTCTGAGGTGAAATCAAAAGTTAGGATGGGTAAATTG